GTCGAAGCGCAAATCGGGATGGATGCGGAGGAATTTGCCGATGTAGTCGGCACGAATAAACCTCGTTTGCTGGTATAATATAGTATAGCCTGTAAGTTTCGTTTATTATGATATCCATATGTGTCATTAGCCTTAATGGGAGAAACGATCGATTAAAATATTATGCTCCTCTTAGATCATCCACTGATAAAACATGGCTACACTAAATTATACATGTCAATTGACATAATTATGTCGTATTAAATTACGTTTACAGATTCATTAAAAATCGTTATCGTGCGGCGTGTAATCGGCGCCGTATAAAAAAAGAAATGGAGAGATTACAAAAATACGCAATCCGTGAATATAAGACAATAAAAAAAAAAAAGAAAAAGAGAGAACGATAGGGCAGCATTTAAAAATCGGAAAGACCGTGTGAGGATCGATAATCACAAATTATTGTACGAGTCAACGTGGACGAGGGGCGTATTCTCTTTTCGCTTTGGTATTTCATAGGTGCGGTGGGTATAGCGCCTGCAATGTTAAACGATTCTCACGTCTCAGCCAGTGCTATCGCGTGCTCGGACTTTCTTTCCGAATCATTCAATATATGGCAATCTTCGACGTGCCGACATTAATTCCAACAACGACGGATTTACTTTGTATCAACATCAATTTTTTCATAGCCGCGGATGTTTCAGATACGCATTACTAAAAATAGAATATTCCTCGCGAATTATAAATTACAAATTACCGTTATTCGCTTTTGTGATTTTGAGCGAATTACGCGTTTTCCGAATACTTGAGATTCGATTACAAAAAATATCTATTGAAGCACTATCAGAGAAAAGTCTGTTAATCTTTCAAAGCTGACGTGGACCTATTGGACCTACTCTATTGGATAATAAAGAGTCTGTAATAAACAAAAATAATTCAATTTTCTTTTGTGGAATAATATTGTGATAAAAGATACATTATTATTTGAATTTACTATCAGTTCTTAATTCTTGTATCTATTATTGTAGCAATTACACTATTTTACACAAAACGATTAAATTTTCTTTATGTTACATCTGTAAAAATTTGGATTATTCTTATTAAAATAAACTAATAGTCACTTTACTTTACATGAATTGTGTCATTTTGGTTCCTTGAAATTAATTAGTGCCTTTTAATTAACATATATTAAATGGATCTCATAGATCCAATGTTAGTAATTGTTAGGCCCAGTTTCCAAACCTTGGAGATTTTGACGTCAGTTCTGAAAGGTTAATCCGAGTCCATTTCTCCTAATGTAGATTTACTTTAACCTCGGTTTAATTTATCAATTCGAACTAGAAAAGAATAAAAAGTAAGTTAAACTGAGACTAATGGTCCGTTTTTTGTGGCTCTACTAGGGTACACTTTTGGAACTTAAAGTGAGATAAGTATATATTTAATATTTGGCGAAAGCGAGAGAGTCCTAGTGCAATCTAGTGTAGGAATAAAAAAGACCTTAAAATTAATTTACATTGGTGTGAAAATTGTCAACTCAGTCTATATTGACGGAATTAAAAGCGAGGATTATTCGGCGACGTCCTCCGCGAGTGTATAGGATCACAATCGTAAGTGCTAAGATATCGATCCGTGATAAGGATAGCGACAACGCTGGCGACGGCAGAACCACTTAACGCGTGCTAAACATTTAGTCGATATACACATAAAGTGAGGAAGCGAGTTTAAACGCGCGAATCCTGCCGAGCGAACGGATTTCTTTCGCGAATACGCGATTACACGGTATACATTTTTCTGCGTGTTAACGTGTACGTGTATACGATAATCGTTAAATCACAAATATAAGTTTCTCCTTTCTCTCCTCCTTTCCATCGATCGATTACAGGGGAGACGACGATGTGGGAATAACATCGAGGTAAGTTATGGAGAGTGTGTTGTCTCTGTGTGTTCCTTTTATAATTTTCTTTTCTCTCGTCTCGTTGGTACCAGAAGTGTAATAAACGACAGCTCGACGACGCCGCGTCAATCGATAAATATTCGCGTCATCGTCGTCGTTGTCGCCGTAAATCACTTAGACCTAGATTCTTCCTCTCTCTTCTCTCTCTGTTGTTTTTATCTCGAATATATCGAACATCGCTGTTTGGATTAGTTAGTACCTACAATTAAGATCGGCACGCGGTATACATAGTAGTATAATGTATCCTATTACAATAAAGTCGCGGGGACCATTTCCTCTTTCACTCTCACTCTCACTTCCGCTCTACAACGCGAGAAAAAAATAGACCTGGACCCATGACCAGGAAGATGTCTTGGAAAGATGAGAAGATTAGCGAGCAGCACGCACGTCCTTCCTTACATTTTATCCGAGGGATGTCCTAAGAATGTCTCTGGGACATTCTGGAAACGATCTCAGAACGTCCTTTGGACATCTATAAGACATCCCTTGGAAATCTGTGCTGTATAGATCTCCACTTCTTCTCTTTCTTTCTTTCTTTCTTTCTTTCTTTCTTCCCTCTTTTCATACTGACACTCGCTCACACATAAAGGAACCATTGAACGCGCTCGCCGCGGCTCGCGACAGTGCTCGTCAAGTGTATAGTGACAATAGCAGGAAAATTCATCATTGGCGTACACATCGGGCACAACGCGCTAAAAAATAAATTATACTGTCGTCCAACCCTACAAACTCACGTTCTTCGACGCTAAACATCTTTCTTGCTCCTTCTCTCTCTCTCTCTCTCTCTCTCTCTCTCTCTCTCTCTCTCTCGCTCTTTTTCTCGTTTTATTTTTTTCTCTTATTCTTATCTTCGCTCGATGACTAGAAACATCGCTTCGCGCGGATCACTTGGTAAAAAAATTAGCGAAAATGGAAAACATCTGTAGAAAAAATAAACTCGCCTCCGCGAGGATAGCATCGTGGTCTTGGCTCGAACACGCGCCAGATCCAGCGCAGTCGCGCGATCATCAATTCAGCTCCCGCATCGCTATCCCGCGGCGACATTCCTTTCTTCTCGGGCACGATAATTAATACGATACAAGTCCTCGCGACTGGGCGGAGTAACTGGTCGATGGGTGGTCGCGCTTTCGTATATTGTTTTAAATTTACAACACGCCTCCGAAATCGATGAGACCTCGGAAATTCAATCTCGATACACGGTTACGGTCAGCTTGACGTCCCGGTGCAGCGACGACTCGGGTTTCCGTTTCGTTATCGCATCTCCTCCGATGATTTACGCGTGCGAGAGGGAAAACGGTTATTGTCAAGTAACATCGTCCGAGAGCGACCGCGATTCGAGCGGATCTTACAGACTGGGAGATGAACTTGCCCCGGTAAACAATAGCAATAACATTGCATCAATATTATAATTTTCCATTCAACAATGTGAATGTCATATTACACACGTTGTACGTAACAGTTACATTTCCTGTGGTAGGAAATTACAACATTGATGTCATATTACCATTAATTGATTTACTAAGCATGATGCATCTCCTTAAAACGTACGCGATATCGCCGACCGACTAGGTATCACTTTCATCAGCGGCGACTGAAAAGAGGCAAACCGGAAGACAGGCCTGCCAAACAGGAAGTTCCGGCCCAGAACGCCAAGCGTGCGCCGATCGCGAATATGAATAGCGAGAGCCTCCCCGGCTCCGCTCGGGTCTATTACAATGACAATCTTAATTGGCCTGCTCTGCGCTCTGCGCTTGTTTCTCGATCTTGCGCGCAAGCTCGGGGCTCATATGCGGATGCGGAAACGGTAACACCGGTTTGCGCAGGATCGTCGGCTTAACCTTGACCTGCGGCTTAAACGACGAGACCACCTGGCTGCCGCCGGTTAGGTGCATGTCGGCGAATTTGGCAACGATCTTAGGGGTGGAGCGCGGTGGTAGAGGTGATCTAAGTAGCATTCCTCCGCTGCTACCGCCGTCGCCGCCGCCGCCATCAATAACGATCTGATTCGAGCTGGCCGACCGGACGATCTCGTCGTTCTCCGCGTCGATAGCACTCGTTCCGTCGTGCTCCGCCGTCTCGATCCGCTTCAACTTGTTATTACCGATCGCGGCGATGGCGTTCTCCGAATTCGCAGTCTTTGTATTTTTCTTCAGGGTGCATTGGTTTTGCTTGGCAAAGCGCTCAGCGGCGGTACTCATGTCCGGCGACTCTGGACCGCCGGTCGGCGACGTGGCCGCCTCTGATCGGGTGGGTGGCGTCTGCTGCTGCGGCGCCAGCAGAGACAACGGCATTGTCGTCTCCTCGTCCGAACTGCTCAGACTGCTGGACGACGCAGACTTCTTGCCGACCGGGTCCTGCGCCGACAACGGCAGATCCATCACCAGATCGGGTGTGTGTTTCTGCCGCATCTCGCGGAACTCCTGAGACGTGCGGGAGTAGGACGACGATTTGGGGGTCGATTGCGTCTGCGAGGTGGCGCGACGCTGCCAAAGCTCACGATTCACTGAGAAGTTGGTTGTTGTTTGCTGCTGCTGCTGCTGCTGCGACTCCTGGTGCAACTCGTCGTCCTGCGTCACGATGGTCGTCGTCATCGTTGTTGTTGTTGTTGTTGTTGTTGTTGTTGTTGTTGTTGTCGTTGTCGTCGTCGTCGGCATCGCCGCTATTGTGACGATCGTTGTCGAGGTCGGCAGAGAGTTTGCGTGCGACAGCTGCTGATGCTGCTGCGCCATTACGCTCTCGCCGACGCTCTGCGACTTCCAATACTGCTGTTTTCGGCCGGCGCTGCGTTTCGTTACGATACCGTCCAGCGACGACATTGCCGTCAGTACATTGCTAACCAGATCCTCGCTCGCGACTTCCTCGTTGCTGTTTCCGCCTCGTTGCTGCTGAGCACAGTTCACGCTACCGCCGTCGATGCTGTCGACATTGTTCTCCAGAGCGATCTGGAGAACGCCGTCCGCGTTGTTCCTATGTTGCTGCTCCGAATGCATCTCGTTTTCCGTGGGGGAAGACGCTCTGACTGGCCTCAACGGAATCACGGTGTCAGCCTGCAAACAGTCACGGGAACAATCGCAGCGAGACTCGAAGCGCGCGCTAAGCGAGGGGCTAAATGGGTATATGTTGCCTGAGCGAAGCCGACAGACGGGTCTTGTTTACTATTGCGGGGAATACGCAGATACAACGTCGTCTTGATCTATCAGCGATCGTGCGCGCTGTAACGAGATACGAATTATTGTCGAATTATTATCGAATCACGTCTTCTTCCTTCTATTCAGGGAGTCTCGCCACCAATAGATGTATCTTTTAATCACCGAGATAAAAGAATTTATACTTGTTTTTTCAATACTGAAATATCATCATAATTTTCAAATATGTTAATGACCAAAACTTTGTCGATCTTTTAAAACGAATCAGCGTAACAGGCGATGGAGTCCTATTTTTCATTCATTTTTAAATAAATTTTGCCTAGACTAAAATTTAAATTACAATTTAAATTACAAATTAGTTGCTGACACATTTAATATTAAGAACGAAGAGGAAGTAGCAAATAACGTTCACAGTTATTAAAATTTTATAAAGATGTCAACGACGAATTTGTAAGAATCTCTAGAAAGGCCATCCAATGGTAGTGGGACACCCTGCAGATAATTTTCTATGTAACAACGTGTATAGATAAAAATTGGGGCGAGTGAAATAATTCGTGAATAGTTTACAACTGCACGACATAACGACAACGTGAAATATATGTATGTAAATACCGAATGAGAGGAGTGCTGATTATGTAATTAAACAAAGTACATTAATAAAAAAAAATTGATTTCAAGAAATTTCCATCTAGTAATATTAAGGGTGGACTTTATATGATTAAGTTGAAGATGAAAATTATCAATTTATTTTAGGAACAAGAATAAATGGACATAATTCTCTTATTTACTACTACATTTCAGACATAGAAAATTAAATTGTGTAATAAAACTTATTAAAAATATACAAGTTTTCTATTAGCGAATTCGGTTGGACGCACTAGTGCGCAATAGTGCATATTAAAACCGTTGTCCACTGATTTGATCTGTGTAAAAGTAAACGGTAAATATTTCGAATTATAAAAACAACAGATTTTTTACCAGATTTTATTTAATAGCACAATAAAGTGTATCGAAGATTTCATGGTACAATCCATTTTTATATTTATATTAAACGCATACATTTTTACGTCAATTCGTATACGACGGCTTTAATGTGTACCAGTGCGCCTTAAGTGGATCCTATCGAATTCGATATGTGTATTACATTTAAAACGAGCTCGAAAATTTAGAGTACATAGCGTTTCGCCACAATTCTGTGATTTCTAAAGAAGCAATTTATTATATTTTCTAGTCCAGTTTTCCTCAGGACACTTTGCTTTACAAATTAAACCTAAAATAGACTATTAGAAAAATTTACAAAATGATAACAAACATAAAACTCGAATTTTCGCGTAAAAATTAACATTATTATGTTATTACCATTTTGTAATAATATTTTTCTATCTATTTTTTTCAGATTCAATTTATAACAAAATGTCCTCAGGAAAACTAGATCATAAAATAATAAATTGCTTTTTTAAAGTCCAGAAATCGTGACCAAATTCATCATGAACATAGTATCTGTTTCCGGGTTAAACAGCCAAACTTAAAATATGAATTTAAGATCTCAAAATAAACAAAATTTTCCTCTAGAAGTTTCCTCGCAAACGCTTCGTTTAAGAGATATCATTTAAGAGACTTCTCTTAAGTTACAAAACTATGATATAGGAATGTGAATATAATTTAGGTTTATTTCTTTTACTGCTTTACAATAATCAAAATACAATTATTGAATGTTTTATTCAAAATGATGGTCTCCAACCCTGAGATAAACATTGCACCTACCTGATAGAATGAGAAGCTGATTGACATTGTACGTTTGTAATTTCTTCGCGTGCTTGCATTATCTGCTTTAATGATTAAAAACCATTAACAGGCATTTCATCCACTTTTTGCTTCAGAGAAAATAAAATCACAAGAGGTATTTATGAACAAATTTCCAGAGAAAAATTTTGTTTGTTTTGAAGTTCTAAATTCATATTTTAAGTTTGGCGATTTAACCCGAGAACACCCTGCGTAACAATCAATAATAGCTCGAACGAAAACTTTGTCTCTTAATTCGTTTCCTTGAAAGAAATTCACAAATTTTTCCTCCAATTTAATCATACAAACTTCCTGTTCCTCTTTAAACATTCTTTAAGAAAGTATTCTCGAAACACGATCGATTTGGAATAGCGTCCGTAAAATTGTGAAATTTCGAGATATTATTGCTAATCAGTTACATGCAAATCAACGCACAAGTATAAAGGGATAAAGTACACACACGCACGCACATACGCATGCACACACACAGGACAATACCACTTGAAGGGGACAAGATTAAAAACTGCTCGTAAAACTGACAATGAGGTACACATAAGCGGGTACACATACCGTCGTAATAAACGGTGAAATAGCTTACCTCTCTTTCTTTCTCTTTATTTTCCGGATGAGTTAATAGTGGCTATATAAAACTATTGCAATGAGTGAGATTACTCTCTTTACTCACCTCGAAAGCCGAAAGGATATCCGCTGGAAACAAGCAGGTCCCCCGCGCGCGAGCGACTTTTCTTTTTATCTCATCCACAAATCGATGAGGGAAAATTCGCTCTACGAAGAAACTTTAGGAAACTCTCACAGAACTCGATAAAAGAAAAATTTTTTTTTAAAGAAAGAAAAAGAAGCTTGAACACATTCTATCGTCGAAATCTTAATCACGCGAGCTTAACGACACAACACGACAATCATAAAAATAACTAGTCACACAACTAACAACACTGACGATCAGTTTTATCGAACAGTTTTTAGTCCACGTTTCGTTCTGCGTATATGTATGCGGCGCGTGAAAACAGCACGGCTTTTCTCGCCAACTAAAGGACCAAGAGACTAAACGTATATCTGGAAACACATCAACCATCCCAATCGTTAAAACAATCATTAACAAAAAAGGAAAAAACGTAAGGAAGAAAAATCAAAACTTACATACGCACATAATAAAAAACGGTGCAATGAAGGACAAGACAACAGGTGGCGAACAAGACAAGAACAACCACAAGGCGAGGACATGCAGCACAAAGTAAACATGTGTATTTATATTTTATTTACAGATGTATCGTACAAATTCGTATAAAAGTCCTACAAGTGCTCGTGTGCTATACCAAACTGTGAAGTTAACTTAAAAAATAAAACGTCTCTATAAGAGCAAAATGCTCTCCTACGTCTCATCGTCTTCCCCAATTCTGCATCATGACAACTGCGTTGTCAGTTCTGCCCGCGAAACTCTTTCGGATACTTATACTATATCTCAAAATCACGGCAACGATCGCATACATTTCGTGACAAACGACAACTTGTTGAATTAACCCTCGAATTTATTCAGCCACTAAACTTTTTTTTTTTTTTCCCCGAGAACTTTTTCATGAAGAGCAAAAGGAATTTAACATTTGATCATGAGAGAACTGCGCGGATCATACAACGAAACGATATGAGGATCTGATATCATACAAGTGCAGTGCAAGGCAAGAGAGTGTTGTCAATCTGTGTTGTGCAAACGGCGGTTTCGTTCGCTCGAGAATATAAGACGAAAAAAAAAAAGATATTTTGTAACTCTCGAACAGCCATGCACCTGAGTGCGCGTCGTGAAGAGTACAGAGATAAAACTCTGCGTCGCGTCGGTGCGTCGGTATGCTAACAGTGCGACAAATACACGCCAAAAAGCGAATACAAGGAGGAGAGAGAATCGGGCACATAGATTGAGTCAGATCAACTATTAAACGGTAGTTTCTAATACCTCTCGACTGATGATCGGCTGCGCCGATGACGAGATGCAGGGCACATTCGTCACCACGGACGCAATAATACCGCTGGCGTTACTATTGTCCGTTATTATGTTCGTCGTGGCGGACGATGACATGTCGGACGCTGCACCAGACGACCAGGTGCTCGGATTCGCCGACGGGCCCATCAGTGGCGAATTGTTGCTCGACAATACGCTATCCGCCATCTTCTACGCATAGATTCCTCGCTGGACGATTTTAAAAGTTCCTTCTCACGCTCCTCATCCCTGAGAAAAATACAGAAATGAAACGAGATTAAAACTTGATTAAATAATAAATTCGGATTTAAAGCACAAATTAAATAGTAAATTTACTTATAAATGATAATTTAATTTAAACAACGATCTTGACAAAGATCGAAGACTTCACATATATTTTATAAGAAATTGTCTCCCAATTAGTAATGAGTCATATAGTTTAATGAAACTTGCAGAGAGCTATGAACACGATAATTTTTGCTTTAACATTCTGAAAATTATCAATATTTAACGTTATGTGTCATATAGAGAGTGGAGACTAAATTACATTAAGAGAAAAATTTTTAATATTTGTGATTATAATTGTATGGTAAGATAAATATAACTAGGAGCTCCAGTTTCGTAATTATTACTGCTATAATATTAGTAATAACAATTATATTTATACAATATTAAATCTCATAGGACCGTACATGTGAGAACACAACCAATAGGAAATAAAAGTCTTTAACGGTCTAGCTGGATCTAAGGTGCTTGTATAATTCCGTGTGAACTACGTTATATACTACGTGTGTAGTCCTTTAAACTGCGTGCCGAAATGATTTTTCGGTCACAAAAATCATTTCGGTGCGCATTTTAAAAGACTACATACGTAGTATATAAATTCACACAGAATTAGATCTATAGTTCTGTATATTAAAAAAAATATATTATATACAGGGTGTTTCCAAATTAAATGGCAAAACTTCGGGAGCGTGTAGAGGAGTAAAAAACTAAGAAAAAAAGTCCTATAGACATATGCTCCTTTTTGCTTTGTTTCGCAGGAAATCACGAAAAAAGAAAAAAATATATTTAATTTATTATTTTAATTATTTTATTTATAAACTTTTTAATGAAGATTTTGTTCGAAATGTGCACCTCTTGCAGCAATACAAGCATTGCATCTGTCAAACACGGCTCTTG